CTTCGGTTTGACGGTTCTGGGTTTAGGCTTTAAGGGCTCCGGGTTTGGAGTTGGGGTTAAGGGTTTAGGTATCAAGATTTCCAGATTAGGATTTGGGAGTCTAGGGCTTATAGGGCTTGGGGCTTAGGCTTCCGGGTTTATGAGTATCCTTTAGAAGGGGCCCCCCACCCTGTAATAGTGATATAATAGGAACATCATAGGGCCCGAATATAATCCTTATAGTCACTATTACAGGGTGGGGGCCCCTTCTGAAGTAGCCCATGCTACTCTGACCAAAGTCCCCAGGAGGAGACCAGGGGCCCCGGCACTTCGTCAACAGCTGCACGAGCGATCATCTCCTGTCTGACATGCTTTCAGGTTTGTTTTAGGGTTTAGGGTAGGGTTTAGGGTAGGGTTTAGGGTAGGGTTTAGGGTAGGGTTTAGGGTTTAGGGTTTAGGGTTTAGGGTAGGGTTTAGGGTTTAGGGTTTAGGGTTTAGGGTTTAGGGAAACCCCACAAGGTTGGAAACCGGATTAAGGTCAAATAGTGCTGGGAGTCCCTATACAGTACTCGTGAGGATTGAGACTATGGGGTTTCCGACCTTTGGGCTTCTACCCGGGTTTCCGACCTTTGGGCTTCTACCCGGGTTTCCGACCTTTGGGCTTCTACCCTACAGGCTTATGGCCTGCTGGTTGGGTATCATGGGGAACTAACGGTTAACCTTGTTGGTTATATAGGCATAATATAGGGACTATACTACCCAAAAAGGGTAAAGGTTGCCTACTCTACTGGTAGGGTAGGATATAGGGCTTGGGCTTTAAAGTTTAGGGTTCAATGCTGGCTTAAGGTCCAGGGTACTCAAAGAGCACATCAGCACATCTTCAGGACTCGAGGAGCAGCTACATTCAGGTTTCGAGTTCATTGAGAGCTCAGTGGTGCCAAGCCCAGACTTAGCTTGTCAGTTGTCCCAGTTTTCCATAGGACCCAAGAAAGCACAAGCAAAAATGAGGATAGGAATATCCCGTATAAACCCCCTTATAGTGAAGCCCAATAAGGCAGGGATATCCCCCAAAAAAATGCCTACGCTTATGTGCTTTTTGGGTCCCTAACTCCAAGGAAAAACAACATAAGAAGCTTAGCATGAAACGTAGAAATGTGGGAGTTTCCGATAATGAGGGACCCCAATATAGTACCCTAAATAGTAGGATCCTACTTTAAGGACCCCCAAATAAGGTACCCCAATGTTCGGAAACTCCCATGTAAACACGCTAGCAGAAAACCTCACCGGTGATAACTTTGGAGTCGATGTACGGCTGATGATGCAAAACCTGCATTACCCATAATAAGTAATATATGATAATTCCCATATATTCCATATTATGGTTAATGCAGGATTTATATCATCAACAGTATGTGTGATCTGATTGAATTCGACCTTTCCTCCGACTTGGCCGACTGACAAGCGCCATCCCCAGTGGTTGCAGACCACTTGCGAGCCCTCAACACCCCAGGTCATCCAAACAGAAACCAGCCGAGGCTCTGACCCAAACAAGAACTGAACTCTCAAAGGGGAAAAGGAGGTTTTATGGGCTATATAATGGGTATACAATAGCTATACTAAGGGTATATGCCTAGGGGTCCTTATTAAGGGTCTCTCCTTTTCCCCTTTGAGAACTCCTACAGCCTGAACCCTAGCACTAAGCCCTCAACGTCGAACCCGGTCTACCTGAAGTCGAACGCATCACGCCGCCGGTGGCCTGGGCTTTCTTCGTCCGCTTGTCGATGGTGTCGTAGATGCGCTGTGACCTTACTGAAAGCTAGGGTTGAGGGTTTAGGGCTTCGCATCCTATACGCGTATCAAAATAGGATCCAATATTATACAGTGCTTCGACTAGGGCCTACAATACAAGGGTTCAGGGTTTTAGGTGTTTGGTGTTCAGGGCTATAGGGGTCTAGGGCTCAGGGCTTGAGGGGTTCAGGGCTTTAAGGGGTTTAGGCTTCAATTCACGGATTCTAGTGTTTGGGGTGTCATATCGCTGGGGTGACGACCGGCGTTGGCACCGCAAAGTGCAAACTCATTTTCTTCACGGCGGCTGAATGTCATGTTTAAGCCACGGCTATGCGCCACAATCATTCCCGGGACCAGGTTGCAGGTATGTGCTGGGGCCTGTGGTCCTACGGCATATGGAAGTATGTTATAGTAAGGTAAGGTTACAGCTCATAAAGGCGGCGCAGTTCGACTGCAAATGTCCTGGTACATCATGGTCTACTGTCAGTGAAGCCCCTTCCTTGAAAGGCCCATTCTTATGAGGATCCAATATGCAATCCTATAGTGGGAAGGGGTAAGGTATTGGCTTTGGGGGGTCCGTTATCGCAAAAGTTATGGCGTAGCTACAATGGGGAAACCATTGTTAACTAGTACGACCACTTTCGGTTCACGGACATCTGTCGGCTAGAGAAGCGAATCAAGCAAACCTATGGCTCTTTGGACCCTATATTACCTATATTCAACTTTCCAGGTATCAGGTGGTCATTATGTGCCGCATTTCGAGGATGAGGAGAAGCCGAATCTTTTGGAGCTTCATCAAGTTGAACTTCAAGGGTCGGAATGCCAAGTTGTGGCCTTGGGCTGAACCTCGACGACTCAAACAAATACTGGCAACTAAACTCCAACTGCGTAATTCAACCCTAAAGCCTTAGTTAGGTCCTAAACCCTCAACTCTACACCCAAGTTGAAGGTTGCAGGGAAGGATGGGTTCGTGGGAGCCAGCGAGAATCTCTGCGTAAAACAACCTGGCCCAATCAAAGACTGAATCAGACTTCTTCGCGGCTGTCTCTGAAAGTCTCATCTAAGGGCGTCTGAAGACTTCGCACCCTCTATGGGCGCTGCCGAAATTTATAGGGATACCGTATCTTGGGGGCCTCGTTTAGGGTACGTACTACATTGGGGCCCCCTGTTTTCGGAAACTCCCATATTACCCCAAACCGTATTCCAACAACTAAGGCCGCTAGATTGGGCCTCTGTGTTTCTTTATAGCAGATGGCTGGAGCATCGGGTTATCTGACCACGAATCACACGACATGGTGTAGGCAGAGCTGATAGCTACGCCTTCAGCTAGCCCACAAAACCCAACAAGCCCCAACCATGAAACTAAATCCTGCCCCATTAGGGCCCCAAAAAAGCACATAAGCAAAAATTAGGATAGGGATGTCCCATATAAACGCCCTTATAAACAAGCCCAATATGGTAGGGATATCCCTATAAAATGCTTATGCTTATGTGCTTTTGGGGTCCCTAACCCATTTGACATGCGATACATAGAGGTCTTGCTGCTCAAGCTTTGACATTCGAGACGCCGGGGAGGAATTGGGTTCAAGGATTTGGGGTTTTGGGGCTTTGAGTTGAGGTTGGGTACTTGCTGCCCCGCCCTTTAACAGAACTATTAGGAATCATAGAAAGGGCTATATAAAACTGTATCATGCATATGATCCAACTGCTGGATCCGGGGTTTTGTAACCGGTGCGTGCTGTGGGGCCCCTATCATTTAAAAGGCCTTCAATAGAAAGTAAACAACCCCCTTGTAGTGTCACTGTTATATCCCGAAACCCAGTTAGGTTCTAACTTGTTCACGGACGCCTTGGAAACCCGATAAAAGCCCTAATGATAATATTGAGAGATTCCTATGCTATGCGGAAGCAAAGAACAGCGCTTTTCACGGCTGTGTTCGTTTCGTCATCATTACAAGCCCCAATATTCGGTTCTCGGTTGCGGTGAGAAGTTGGGTCTAAGCCGGACTCCAGTTACCTATAACAAGGGGTTACTGGTCATTGAACCCTCCTTAATAGATATGGGGGCCTGAATGATTAGAATAGGCTTTGGGGCATGTTATACTATAATTATAGTAAGGAACCCTCACAATAGTACTGGCACCAAATATTTACCCTAAGGGTCCTAGGTACTGTTATGGGGAATACTTCCCCAAACCATAGTAGTAATTACAAATATAGAAACCCTGCATTCTACTATGTTGGTACTTTGGACTCTTTGGGTTAGACCCCTCTATTACCGGCTCGGCATCTGTGCTCGTAGGATGAGGTTTGGGGAGGAAGGATGCCACGGAAGTCACGGAAAAGGTCGTCTAGCCGACTGGCACTAAGAGGAGCGAAAACCGGAAAAGGCAAGGCGGCTCTTGGACGTCTGTTGAAGTAGTCTTAGACGGTTCAAGGCTTCGGTGTTGGGGCTTTTGGTGGGGAGGGGTGATCTTTGGAATTTGAAAAAAGTTTTTCCTTTCGGTGTTATGGATTGTTTGGGTGATATTGAACTTGTTTTAAAAGGGCTTTTAATTTAAGGTCTTCATCTGTAGATATCTGTAGGATTTAGGGCATACAGGGCGTTAGCAGCACTCGTCAAGACAATCCTTGGGCCGTCCCTGCTGTCTGTGCCTAGGTACAAAGAGAAGCTGCGCAGCGTCGTCGGCAAGCATGCAACGAGCTACCACGGACATCACTGAAACCCTGCTACGTACATCAATAGCGAACGAGAATGCTTCATAAACGGATTGCGGAACGTCCAATATTCGCGAGCTTTTCTGTAAAATCTTCCCATTTATTGAAGGTATCCGACGAGACCGGATAGATCCGGATAGATACGGCTTTCCGGCTTCGGGTTTCGACACTGGCTTCGTAAGCTTCGTTACAACGGCCGTCCGAAACCCTAACACCTGATTGTAGCTGTCTCTTAGGGATTATAATAACAAAAAAAATATTTCTAAGTACCCCTAAGGCATGGAAGCTGATAAATCAGGGGTCCACAGCCGACAACATTACGAAGGTCTCTTGACCCTCTCGCGATACATTCCAAGGTTCTGGGGGTTTTCTAATTACCTAGCCTCGAAACCCCAAAACCTGAACCCAAAACAACGATTTCTGGCTCTTGGTCTAGGTAGAGTAAGCGACGCACACGCGCAGAGAAAGCCAACTCACGGCTTCGGTGAGAGCCCGAAAACAAGCATCATAGGGGTGTCATAGTCCAAGGGCGCGGTCGTAGCAGCCTGCGCGATGAGTTTGAGGCGGTCCAGGTCTAAAGCCCATGCCAACCCAAAGGGCGCTAGGTACCTGGCCCATAGTCAATAGTAATCCCTGTTATAGATTCGCCTACTTTCTAAACTATATAGGTACGTAGGAATCTGTGGGCAAACCCTCAGAAGAACGAAGTGTATAGCCCAAAAACGAAGAGAACTATGAACATGGAGCGGTACTTATATTCTAGCAAAATTCATGAGGAGCCTTGGCTTGGTAAAGCTCTTAGAGGGACATCGATGGGTTCCGGGGAAATCTAGAATGTAGGGATTACCATTCCTATTTCTGTTCAGAAAACCCCTAAACCCTAAACCCTACCGCCAAGATGCAATACAGCTGTGACAAGCAGTCGATACTCGTAACGGTCATGTACTATAGGGGCCTTAATAGTAAGAATAGGGTTCCTTTAAGAGGTCCTTTAAAGGGGTCTATAAGGACCTATAGTAGGGTTGTATAATATAGGGGCCTTAATAATAAGAATCGGGTTTTGGGGCCCATTATATTAAAAGTAAATATAATAATAATGGACCCCACCAAAAAATGGTATTGGTAATTTATTTCGGCCCCTATAGCATACCGCAGAACTCAGAAACAAGAGGCCTCCAGACAATCTAGGGTTCGGGTTCAGCTCTAAGCGATCCCAGCGATATTCAAAACGTCGAGACGGCCAAATCTTAAAACAGATCTACACCTTGAGACAGTAGTCACAAATCCGACGCACAGACTTACTGTGCAGGCTGGCGACTAGTGACCTACTGTTGATGATATAAATCCTGCATGACCCATAATAAGGAATATACCATATTTCCCATCTATTCCTTATGATGGGTAATGCAGGATTTATATCATCAACCGTAGTGGAAGATTCTATGGCATTTCACACTGCAGGAGGCCAGGACAAACTTAAGAGCTGACCAAAACAAAAAATGGGCTTAAAGGGAACTCCAGAAAGTTGGAATATGGTTTCAGGGTAGGATACCGTATAATTTACCATCAAGGGTTTAGGATAATCATATTCCAACTTTCTGGCTTTTACTGTAGCCTCGCGAGCCCTTCCGCAGCAGTCCACACACCCGCATAAGCTAGCGCACGGCGAGCGGGCAGCACTGAACTTCAAAGCTCTTGATCCTGAGTCCTAACTGAGTCACGAAACCCAAAACCTTGAGTCCTCAGTGTAGCCCTTCAGTTTAGATCCAAAATCTTTTGAGGCCCAAACAATATAAGCCAACAAGCCTTCAAAGAAGCAAACACAACACGGCCCCACCTTTCCATTCATCCGTCTCCTGGGACTGACAAGCCCCAACCACATTTCTGCCCCTCTCCACAAACCCTAAACCGCTCAACCGCACCTAGCGCTGTCACATGCACAAGGCAAGAATGCAAGAAACCCCAACAACCCTAAACCCTAAACCCCAACAACTCACCCTGGCCCCTTGCTTCCCAAAGCACACTTCCCTTGCACCGCCCATGAATCCAAATCATGCCTCCCCTGAAAACCGGACCGAATCTTGAGTTTATGGTTGCAGGGTGTGAACCCTAAACCCTAAACCCTAAACCCTAAACTCTAAACTCTAAACTCTAAACCCTAAACCCTAAACCCTAAACCCTAAACTCTAAACCCTACACCCTAAACTCTAAACTCTAAACCCTAAACCCTAAACCCTAAACCTTAAGGTCTCCATAATCGACCCCAGAGGCCAAAGGAAGAGCAGGATGCTAAAGATGGCAAGAACACCGTAACATAGGGGCCTTAATGATTAGAATAGGGCTTTGGGGGGGCCCATTCTACTGTAACCACAGTAAGGAACTCCCACAGTAGCATTGGACTTTTTTAAGCCCTTAGAGTAGAATGGACTTCGCTTTGTCACATGCCTGAATAATTCACAAATACCATGTCGACAGCTCCTTCGATCCTTATGTTACTATAGGGGCCTTAATAATGAAAATAGGGTTTGGGGGCCCATTCTACTATAATTATAACGAGGAACCCTCCCAAAATAGTATTGGTAATTATCAAAGCATCTATGTTAGATACCCTGAGCCCAGAGCCCTCCAAACCCACCCTAATACAGGGGCCTTACTAATTAAAGTAGGGTTTTGGGGGCATATTCTACTATAGCTGTAATAAGGAACCCTAGGGATAATAATGGTAAGTATTTACCCTAAGGGTCCAGGTATCTCCTTAGGAGGGTCTGGAATCTCCTAGGAAGAGCCCTTGGGTCTCGTTGGGGGGGAACCCTACATTGTGAGGTTCCCCAAAGTGTTAGGACTTTTAGGGTAGGCCCCTATAGTAGCTTGCTGGAGGTGCTTTCAGGTTCTAAGTTCACACCCTCCGGTTCAGCTGAGATTCGGCAATATCGTCTCGTGGTGTAGGTCCAAGGGGAAAGGAGGGACCCTTAATGGGGACCCCCACCCTATAATGGGCTATATAATGGGTATATAGTAGCTATATTAAGGGTATATACCTAGGGGTCCTTATTAAGGGTCCCTCCATTTACCATTGGAGTGTGGGATTCCGGGTTTAGAAACCCTAAGCTTCAAAAAGCCCCGCAGTGGAAAGGCTGGGACTGCTTTTGAGCGGTTCAGGGTTTAGCTTCCTAGAGACTCCAATATCCCTTAATTTAGGAATATACCTTAAATTATAGTAGGATCCCTAATATGATTTAAGGTATATTCCATTAAGGGATATTGGGGTCTCTGGGTTACCCGAGCAACTCGACCGGAGGGCTTGCGCGTCTCTATCCGTAGTACATTACGTAACCTGGTGGTACAGTGCAAGTATAGCGACTCCGGCGCTCTATGAGACCCATGACACTAAACCCTAAACCCCTAAGCCATCTAAGCCCTAATTAGGCTAAGAAGCTGTGCAACCATACACAGCACGTGTACTACAACACGAGTACCATTTTCAGTTATTCAGGCTCCTGTTCGCGAGAAATTTAAAACCTTAACCGTAAATCCTGTATCAAACGAGTTCGCGCTGTACGACTGCAGGATCCAATCAACATGCTTGAGGTTTCCCCAGAAAACCCCCACATGCAGAGGAGTTATTCGGGCTTACCACTATGCATTAAAGGGGATCCCAAAGTGAAAACAGCAAAGAATGTATGCGTATTTGGGAGTTTCCGAAAATTAGGGGTACCTTATATAGGGTCCCTACAATTAGGATCCTACTATTTAAGGCACTATATTAGGGTCCCCTATTTTCGGAAACTCCCATTTCTGGGAGACGTGGCCACTATTGGAATCGACTCTTGTGCCGCGGCCTATCCAACCCTAGATCCAAAGTTTAAATGCTCAAGAAATCCGACCTCAAGAGAGGTTGAGCCGTAAGCCCCTAGTCGGAGCAAGGTGAATATAGGGATTAGGAGCCCTAAGCGCTAGTCTCAGAACCTGTCGAAAAAACGAGTTTACAGTAGAAGCCCAAAAGTTGGAAACCCCATAGCCTCCATCCTGTTACAGTAATGTATAGGGGATCCCAGCACTATTTGGCCTTAATCCGGTTTCCAACTTTATGGAGTTTACTGTAGGTAGCCACAGCCACAAACCCTGAGCAGTCCTTGAAAGGGTGGTAGCTGATCCAGTTGCCGGAGCACTCCTTATACTTGGGCTGATCGCAGTGGTCCTGGCCACGGTTTAGGGTTTAGGCTTTAGTGTAGGGCGTTCGGTCAGATTTCACGTGTTGTTGGTCTCATCTTGTCATGATCACAGCCACCATTACATGGAATTTCCGAAAATTCGGGGTACCTTATTTTGGCGTCCCTATAATAGGATCCTACTATTTAGGTTAGTCCCCTCTTTTCGGAAAAGCCCACCTTTATCAGCTCTGAATTAATGGCCAAAGCTCCGCGATTTTGGAAGTCTTGGCAGGCTGCAAGGTATACAAAAGTATAGAGGTACTTAGGCACTGGACTCCAAGGGCTTACGGGGATGAAGGGTTGAGGGATCAGCATGAGGCTTTAGGGCTCAGGTTTTTGCACCCGTTGTTCACCAGGCGATTTTCACACACAAACCAGTAGCTGAAGCCTGAATCCCTGAACCCTGCACCCTACGTTAAACTAGGGTTGATGAGATAAATCCTGCATTACCCAGAATAAGGGACATCCAATTATTCCCATAGTTCAGGGTCCCTAAGGTAATCCAGGATTTGTATCATCAACACTAAACCCTATACCCCAAAACCCTATAGATCCCTTAAAGGGAACCCCTTAAAGGTACCCCTATAGATCCCTTTAAAGGAACCCTAGGGATTTATACTAACCCAACTCCCCTGAAGCTCCGGGGCTCAGGTTTTCATTAGGGTTTAGGGCATAGGGGGTCCGACTTGATTGCCCTGGACTCCACATCTAACACCCTAAACCCCAAACCCTAAACCCTAAACCCTGAACCCCTTAACCCATAAACCCTAAACGCTAAACACGGAACCCCTAAACCCTGAAACCCTAAACCCTAAATCCAAAACCCCAAACCCAAACCCCACTCCTCGGCCAACAAGCTCCAGGCGTCGTGGCGATGCACTCTGAGATGATGCATGCAGCTGCCAAGGTAAACGTCCTGCCACCAAGATGTTTAGTATATGAACCGGACTAGTTAGAACAGATTCTGGGCTTCGGTGGGTGTATTCTTGATGGTACCATGAAGACGACTGTGGATAAGAGATACTACTAGCAGCGATCCCGACGCGTAGAGTAAGATTGCATAAGGGGTCTATTGTGATAGCGGTTACTATGATATATAGGGTCAAAGACTTAAGCCTGAATTGTTTGGTACATGGAAGTAGGGCTATACTGGGACTATAACTATACCGAAAGGATCTTCTTTTGGACCTGGATCATGGGGAACACCCCTGACTTTCCACAGCCCCGAAGCTTGCAACAGTCCTGGACCCCAAAACCCGAAGCCCTAAAGAATACAAGAGCTAGCAACGTTCGGGGCCTAAGCCCTAAACCCTGCACCCTCCCGCCTAGACACAACGCCAGAGTCGTTTACCCTATGACGCATATACTGAAACTTACATCTCTTCAACACCCTTTCAAGAGCCTGTAGAAAGTTCAAAAAGCTTTCTGTAAATCCACCTAAACCCTAAACCCCGAAACCCTAAACCCCAAACCCTAAACGCCTCTAAACCCCTCACACCCTTCAACCCCCAAGCCTTCCACCCCTGAACCCCTGAAGCATAAACCCCTTAAGCCCTAAACCCTCGAACCCTAAATCCCTAACCCCCTTAACCCCAACAAGCGAGAGCTGAAGGATTCCTCTTGGGGTCGTGTGGCAGCGACAGAGGCGCAATCGGCCCAGTGTTGATGATAGACCTCACCCGACGCATCTTTCGGCCGTAAAGTTTAGCATTTTGGGGCTTAGCCCTTTAGGGCTGGACGGATTTAGGAATTTCGAGCTCTGGGGAAAGACCTCACCCGAGGCATCTTTCGGCTTCTGAAAGTTTGGCTAAGGGGTTTAGGCTTTACGGTTTAGGGAACTTAGGAATTCAGGGCTCTGAGGGACGGACCTCACCCGAAGGGCTTTTACAGTTTAGCATTCAGGAGTTGATGGCTCCATAAGGGCAGGTCATTCGGCTTCAGAGGTTGCAGGGGACCTCACCCGAAGCATCTTCCTTCTATAAGGTTTGGCATTTGCGGGTTTACGGTCTCGGGGATTTAGGAATTTCGGGCTCTGAGGATTCAGGGTTTAGGGTCTATGGGGGACCTCACCGAGGCACTTTCGGACCTAAAGTTATTTTGTCTTTGCGCCTTCTTTCCGTCTGTCCCTAGTCTCGGCTTGAAAGTTTAGAGTTCAGGGCTGAGGATTTAAAGCTTTGCGGCTTTGCGGTTTAGAAGTAGCTTGGTGGGGTTAGGGCTGAGGGACCAGGGTTGATGACTCCATAAGACTTTACTTGATAGGTTATAGGGGGCCGCTCATGAATCCCTTTCTGGGGGACCGCAAGCTTAGCATGTCAGCACATGAATGCTTAGAATTCAGAACCCTGTTCCCTGCAGCTGGCCCCTGCCTGCATCGCGCGCATCGAGAGCACCTCAATGGGCCCATGCAAGCCGCGCCAGCCTCGTCTCCGGGGATAATTTAGGTGTCGGGAGACCTTTGGCCATTGGCCTAAATAATCGGGCCTTAATAACTAGAATAGGGTTTTGGGGCAATTTATACTATAATAATTGGAATAAGGAGCCCCCAAAATAGTGTTGGAAAAGATTTAAGCCCCTGTAGTAGGGGCTTCAGGCTCAGGCTAACGGCTAGAAAGGTGCAAGGATCAGAAACGAAGGGCTCGCACCGTCTAAGCGCCGCTATCTCTTCCTCTTGCTCTTGCTTTTCCCGGTTGAAGGTTTTTTTTGTTTAACCCCTCTATTCCGACTGCTGCAGTTGAAGGTTTAGGGTTTTGGGTTTAGCTATCTCTAACTCTTGCTCTTGTTTTTCCTCTTGCTCTTTGCTCTTGCTCTTTCCTTTGCTCCTGCTACTGCTCCGGACACCCCTAACAAAAATTAGGTTCTAAAGGGCAGGGGTGAGTTCGGGAGGATTGGCCACAATGTGTTTTCGTCGTTTACCGGGGGTCTTTAATACAGGGGAAGTGATTAAGTTTAGACAGATGTGCGTACTATATCAAGCCTAAACCCTAAGCCCTAACCAGCTAAATCAACATAATTTCTGACTAGCTGCAATTGTTCAGCCAGACGCCATTGCCGATTTGGGCATGGCTCCGGATCCAGGCATCCTGCCACAGCGCGGAATAGTGGGGCTGTGGGGCGTGGGCTCAGGCTAGCCCTAAACCCCAAACCCTTAACCCTGAACCCTAAACCCAAACCCCTGGATGCCGAATTCGCGGGACTGACATCGGAGCGATGGTGGGGTTCGCAAGGACTCTGGCCCGCAAAGTTGATCATGACATCGAGCCCTCATATGCAATTCCATGTTCCCGAACGCTGCATTCCCCGCAATCTGTACTCTCCCTCCCCGGTGAGCTGTGAACGCCGGCCGCGGCAGCAGACTCAGCCGCATCCTGCAACCATAAAGGACTAACATACGAGCCCTTGTAGTCCCTTTCCTGAGCCCTTAAAAACCCTTAAACCAAATCAAAGCCCCAAAACTTTCAATGCGCAAACCTCAAAGACGCGGCGCCCCCAACTCCTAATGGCAAAATCGCCTTCAGCAGCGCGCCCAACCGATCAGGGAAGAAAACTGCGTCTAGATCCACCTGGTCAGGGTTAGGGTTATGGCGGTTATGGTTCAGGAGCTACGATGAGCTACGGCTACGCACTGTCAATGATTACGAGATTCGGTGTAGCCGTAGCAGCGACAAGGCATGTAAGCTACTACAGCTGCTACATACGATGACTGCTACGACGAACGACGACGACACCGACTTTCTTGTAGCTTCCGATTCCACGCCCCAAACATGGATTCCCTATGGGGGCCCACGACGACCACAAATTACCCTTCTGCCGAAAGCGCGGACGAGTGAAACTGTTTGATCTGCTGCTGCCGGCGAGGTTTCAGGCTTTCGGGGTATATTTGAGGTTTAAGTTTCAGGGTTTCGGGCTTAAGATGCATTCACGATGATATTATTCCTCCTCCGCCTTTCACAATCGATGGCACTGCTGAGGTTGTGTTCAACACATTGGCGGCTCCTCTTTCCATAGACTACTGGCTAGCACTGCAAATGCCGCTTGCACTCGGACAATGACAGGGCAATAGCACCAACCAATCCAAGCTTTCTCCGCAAAACCCGAACCCTCAAACTTACCAGTCAACTTGCAGGGTGAGGAGTCCGAGGAGCATTCTGGAGTAATGATGACACCAACACCTGAGAGTGCCTTCAGCATAGTAGCCATCGTCGATGCTGCAGCAGTAGCAGCAGGAGTAGGAGCGCGGTCGTCACAATAATAGCAGTGATAATAGCAGCATCGCAGTAGTGTTGTCGTCGTCATCATGCTCGTCGTCGCAGCTGTCGCAGCAGCAGCAGCAGCAGCAGCAGCAACCATGCTAGTAATCGGAATGCTGGTCATCCCCTTAGCGCCTTGACCGTCCACTCGTACTGCTCCCATGTCAGCTTGTCAAGAACTTTCTTCCACGTCTGTCGGAAAATGTGGGTGTTCTCGACGGTCTTGCTCTGCCTTGGTAGGCATAGTTCTGCAAAACTCCACGAATCAGAATGGGCATGCCGGAAATTGTGAACTGACGCGGGATTTAGACTGTTCTCTACTGAACTTAGAACCCTAGCAAAAGTTACAATTTTAGCTGTTTCCTAGGGATTCTAATAACCAAAAATTACAAACTATTTCTAAGTCCCCCTAAGCGTTGGATGGATGGGGCTCTATGTGAGCCCTTAAGCCGACCCCTAGACCCTAAAGCCCCACGCCACTCCCTAATTCTTAACTCAAAGGTTTGTTCGTTTAGGGTTTATGCTCTAGTTCTGTTGGCCAGATTTGCAGAGGTCTGTCCAAGGGTAAAGCGAGGGACCCCTAATCAGGACCCTTAGGTATATACCCATAATATAGCCATTATATACCCATTATTTAGCCCATTATAGGGTAGGGGTCCCCATTAAGGGTCCCTCCTTTTCCCCTTTGATGAACCCTAGACCTCATAGACCCTGAAGCCCTACGCCCCCGTTTCTTTGGGGCATTCAATCTTCCAAGCAAGCGTTGGGTTGATCCTATAGGCAATTATTCTAGGATACCCAGTAACCTAGGAATAAAAAGGCCTCTCTTTTGGGTATTAGGTAACTTTATAAGGAACCTATAGGACTACAAAAAGGGAATAAGGGTACTACTGGGCATCCTAGTATTAATGCCCCTATACCAGAGAACTCTACTACTAGCCTCTGAAAAATATTCTTAAATAGGGTCCTACTAAGCCCAACAAGGGAAAATTAAATTTCCCAAAGGCCTACCTGGACTATAAATCCCCTATATACAAATGTCAGCAAGCAGACCTCATAAACCCCAAAGTCCTATTCCCCCCCTTTCTTCGGGCCATTCAAACTTCCAAGCAAGGTGTCGGGTTGATCTTGCAGTGCAAGTCGAGGTCGCTGATTTCGATGGTGTCCAGGCTCCCGATGCGCATCTTCCTCTCTAGGGACCCAGAATATCGGGAGTATCCAAAAAGTAGATCCCTTAATGGGGGTTCCTATAAAGTATCCTTATAGTAGCCCGAAATTAGGGATCTACTTTCTAGATCCTCCGGGGGTCTGGGTAGGGAATGACTCGGGGTTTGAAGGCTTTAGTTTAAGCAAGAGTGTAGGGTTTCGAGGGTTTGGCGACACGGTTGGAAGGGATTTTGCGGTGCAGTTTCATAATTCAGTAACCCTAAGACTCCATGTAGTCATATAGTAGGTACTTAGGCCTTAAAGGGGTCCCCATAAGGGTACTTTGAGGCTTATGAGTACCTACTATGGGTACATGGAACCTTTGGGTAAGAGTTCAGGATTTGAGGGCTTCGGGGCTGCGGGGTGTTCGTGCTTCGGGTTTAAATCTTGCCGTTTAGGATTTCGTGGATAATCGAAATCACTAGCAATTAGGACATTAGGACTCACAAGCAGGGGGGGTACTTTGGAGTTTGGGGTATCAGAGTGCGGGTCTCGGGCTTACGCAGGGCTTCAGCGACCATCAGCGCTCATGATATGCATCCGTCTGCATTCATAGCAAAACCCTCTGAAACCCAAAAAACCCTAATGAAACAACACCGCAGCACGCGAATCGCTGGGGCTCTTGGGTGAGGGCCAGGTGGTTTAGGAACGTAGCCTTGGGGGATTATTGGGCTCAGGGTTGAACGGCTCCGGGGTTGGAGCACGCAAGACAGGCGGAGCCAGTTGGCCGAGGGCCGGTCAAGGTTTTTGAAGGTCGAGGCAACGTGCAAGTCGTCAGGACCAAGAGCATCGTGGATGGAGCACGTGCAAGGCTCCCTGACCGGAGCACCCCTGAAAGGATCGTCTGCGACGTTGAGGCGCGTTGGCCCGAACACAGGTGCCGGGTAAAGTCCGCCAGCCAACTGGAGGGCCGCACTCTGCTTTAGGGCTCGCTCGCGTGTGCTGGCTGAAGAGCGGCCCTTCACCGAAGACCCCAGCGTCACTGCAGAGTCGACGATATGTGCGAAGCGAGCGTCGTCCCCCCGCCTGGCGAGGTCTCGCAAAGTCTTCAAGAAGGCCTTGGTGATTAGAATAGGGTTTTGGGCCCATTATATACTATAATTACAACAAGGAGCCCCCAAAACAGTATAGGTAATTATTTAAGCCCCTACAGTACTTGCTCTGGGCTACAAAGCAAGCCCTTGAGGCTATTGGTGGGTGTTTCAGGGCGCAGTGCGGGGATTTACCTACAGTCTCCATTGTAGTTTTTTTCTGATTTAACAACCTTTGTAAGAAGGATCCCAAAAGGTAACAAAAAACGGAACCACAGTAGCTATAGGTAGGATTTTATTTGCAGGTTTGGGCGCGCTAGGGCCACATATGATTGAGAGCGGCGCGCTCTGAATTTCCGGTTTGGGCGGGCCTGTCGGAAAACACGTCGAAGCCATCACAGGACATGATCCCAGCCTGCAGCGGATGTAACGGTTAGGTTCGTGCAAGGTAATAAATAGGGGAAACTACAGGGACCGTAATTAAAGGATATCATATGGGTGGTTGTCAAAATTATGGTCCCATTTTGGGTCCCTCTTGCAATACGGCACCTAATATTTAGGATACCCAAAAAGGGCCCTAATTTCGACAACCGCCCATATGATACCATTATCCTTAACCTGTAAGCCTGCATAGCTGATGGCCTTCAGCTGGCATTGCGCTATACTATACAGCTTCGGTCGGCTTCTGGTATTTGAGGCTTGTAGAGCACCCTCCCCACGTCAAGGCCATTGTTCCAGGTCAAAATTAGTCGCAATTAACCATCAACTCTGATGGTTTATCCCTACCTTAGCCAACCAGAGCCACTGCTTCGTAGGGTTCTACCGAATTTCATCCCCCATATGGAATGGTCAGGGGCCTAACAGAAAAGTCGGTCTAGGCATGCTAGATCGTTTTTGAATCTTGACAAGCAAGCTCGAAGCTTATATACCTTCAGCTCCCAGGACCTACTTGGGTGGTTGTCAAAATTAGGGTCCCTTTTGGGTACTCTAAATATAAGGTGCCGTACTAGATTAGGGACCCAAGAAGGGACCATAATTTCGACAAACACCCCACTTTGCTGCAGGGCCCTAATCTTCAGCCCGAACGGTCCGAAAAGTTGGGCATTCATGGGACAACAGAGCAAGGGACCTAAATCTGAACGATTCTTGGAAGCCCTAAAAGCTAAGAGCCCCAAAAGACCCGGACTTGTTGCCCTAGAAACACTGGATGCACCGAAAAAAACGCAGAAGCACAAAAAAACACTAACACCGCCCAGAAACTTTGAAAGCCCTAAACCCCAACAAAGCTCTAAAAGAACAACCCTAGAAGCATTAAATACCCAACTAGAAGCCCATTTATCGTACCTAAAAAGCCTTATAAATCCTAAAAATATCTGAAAAAACCTAGGAGCCCGAAGCAATCCCTAAACACCACAAGCCATGCCCAAAACGCGCGAAAAGGGCCCGAAAAGAAATCATCCCTCGGGCCGTCAGTTGCTGATGTACGACACCCGAAGAGCCCTAAAACCCCCAAAACACCCTAAACAACAACCCTACTTGGAGGGGCAGGGGACTTACTAAGTCGTATATAAGTAGGGTTATAATTGGGGTAACTCTATTTAGGATACGTATAACTCTACTTGTAACCTACTTACTAAGTCCCCTGCCCCTCCAAGTAGAATCAACCCTAGAACGGTTGATGATATAAATCCTGCATGACCCATAATAAGGAGTTATGGTATATTCCTGATTATTGGTCATGCAGGATTTATATCATCAGCCGGAATCACCCCAAAAGCCCCTATCTCAGGCCTTTAGTTGCTGATGTAAGAGAAGCAGGTCCGGCTCCCCCGTCCATGGCACCACGAGCCTCGAGATGAGCGGAAGGGGGGGGGGGGGGTGCTTGGAGGTTCATGGGACTTAGTAACTACAGTTACAAGTACCCGAAATTAGGGTTATAGCTAGTTATAAGTATAGTTACCATAATTATACGTACCCGTAGTTAACTACTGTGGTCTTTAGGTGCATTTAGGGTTTAGGGTATCAGGGTTTAGTTTAGGGTGGAGGGTTTCAGGGCTTAGGGTTTTTGGATTTCAGGTTTTGGGGCTTAGGGCTTCGGGTTTAGGGTTCTGAAGGCTTGTGGCGAATGGTTTGGGAGGTGGTTTCGGGGTCTGCGGCCTTGGCTGCACGGTTCAAGGCTACGGAAGGGCCCAGAGGGGCTGAGGGGATACCTTAGAAGCTGCACCCACCCTGTAATAGTGACTATAAGTATTATATTAGGGCCCTATTATATTCCTATTATACCACTATCACAGGGTGGGGGCCCCTTCTAGGGGATACCTATAGTCTCCATTGTAGTTCCTTTTTGTGGTTAACCAGTTTTATGGTTGGAACCCTAAAATCGAGATTTTGGTTAACCAAAAAAAAGGAACTACAATGGAGACTATAGGTAGAGCTTTGAACTTTTGTTGTCGGCCTTTACCCTAAGGCCCTAAGGCTCAAAATAGCCCCAAAGCCTTACATTGTATGGTCTTTGGGCCCAAAAGCCTTAAAATATGAGTCCTTAAAGCCTAAGGGTTAGGGTGCTTGGGTTTAGGGCTTTGATATTGGGCTTGCAATGGGTTGGGGTTTAGGGGTCCTGAACTGCGGATTCAGCTACGCATTTATATGGGAGTTTTCGAAACTAGGGGACCCCTCATTATATAGTACCCTTAATAGTAGGATCCTTACTATGAGGACCCCAAAACAAGGTACCCTTATAAGTTTCGGAAACTCCCGTATCGGTTTTCAGAGGAATGAAAGCAGCCAAGGAACACCCAGCAGTACAGCAATCTGCCGGGAGTGGTCGTCCTAGGCTCTTCGGTTCTTCAGCTGTTTGCTTAGGGTTTAGGGGTTGAGGATTTGGGTTTAGGGTTTAGGGTTTCGGGGTTTAGGAGTTTAGGGTTTAGGGTTTAGGGGTTTAGTTTAGGGTAGTTGAAAATCTCATAAAACCACCGTTTCGGAGTGACGGAGTGGATTCCCTCTCAGTAGCAAAATTTGAAGCATGCCTAATGGGCCCTGAGAATTCGAATGAGGCTCTGAGGTACAAAGCGATAACAAGGAGACACTCGTGGTAGTAATTCATCATTCCGAATAAATCCCTTAACATGTAGGGGCCTTAATAATTAGAAGAATTAGGGTTCCGGGGCTCCTCATACTATGCGTATAATAAGGAGCGAGACAGTATTGGTAAACCCTAAGGCCCCCTTATCTTCAACCCTTAGTTGTATAGTAGCCCATATAGTAACCCTTGGAGACCCCTGTAAAAGGAACCCTTAGGGTTTAGGGTTTAGGGTTTAGGAAGAACTCCCAAAATACAGTAGTATAGGCAAACATTTAAGGCCTCTACAGTCTTGGTCTTGCTCAGGCCATTCACTGTCTTCTCTGCGGCCGCCGATCTGGAACATTCTGGAACTGAGGGCAATCACTTGTCACTGCAAATCCCGTGCAAAACGAATCAAAACCCTAAACCCCAGACCCCTAGACCCCTAAACCCTAAATCGCTTAAGTTGCAGTGCAGAGACAACAGTCGAGGAGGGAAGAAGCAGCAGCAAAGGCTCAAAAGCGGCGACTAAGTTCGAGGTGTAAAGGACAACAGAGTAAGCGCACACGAACACATCCGCCAAGAACGTCTTGAAAAACTTGCTGGCCGCTACTGCAGGTCGAACTTTGACGTAAGACCGGCAATTGCAAAACCCAAACCACAAACATCCATGCGAGGGTCGTGGTGGTGGTTCTCAACATGCACTCGTGGGACATGTCATTCACCTTCTCCAAGAATTCGAACTCCTTCTGCTTGTAACCTTTGGATTTCCAGTTGTCTTTGGCTTGCGGATCCGCAAGCTGGACGGAATCTAACATAACCCGCTTTTCGTCGAATCCGAAAACCCATTACAAGAACTGTTTGCCCTGCAACCTACTTGTCGGGTATCATGGGGAACTAAAGGTTAACCTTTTTGGTTATATAGGGATTATACAGGGACTATACTACGCAAAAAAGGGTAAAGGTTGCCTACTTTACTACTACGGTTGATGATACAAATCCTGCATTACTTTAGGGACCCTGAACTATGGGAATAATTGGATGTCCCTTATTATGGGTAGTGCAGGATTTATATCATCAACCGTAGGGCAAAAAAGCAACTTGTGGTGGTTTTGAGCAACCCGAACCTCCTGTCGTAGACTTTGGCGGGTGCTCTGAAGAGTTTCTTCCGGGACGTTTGAAATTGGGGTTTAAGCCTGGGAAGGGTTTAGGGTTTAGGGGTTTAGGATTTAGGGGTTTAGGATTAGGTTTTACAGAAAAAGCCAGAAAGTTGGAATATGATTATCCCAACCCTTCTATGGTAAATTATAAGGTATCCTACCCTGAAACCATATTCCAACTTTCTGGAGTTCCCTTTAGGGGTGTAGGGGTTTAGGGTTTAGGCTTTAGGGGTCCGGTCTCTGGGCTGGGATTCAGGTGCCACGGTGTTTTTTTGCATCGGGAGGTAGGTTTCCAACCCTAAGGCTCCATGTACCCATATAGTAGATCTTAGGCCTTAATGGGGTCCCTACATGGTTACTTTAAGGCCTAAGTATCTACTATATGCGGTACATGGAGCCTAAGGGTAAGTGACACAGCCTGAGGTGTTGGAATGCTTTGGACCTGTGTTATAAAGGGGATGTAGCTATTGGAGTAGGGCTTTGGTATAGGATACAATTATACCATAGTTATGATAGGGGATGTAACTACTAGAATAGGGTTTTGGTATAAGGTACAACTATACCATAGTTATGATAGGGGATGTAATGTAACTATTAGAATATGGTTTTGGTATACTCTACAAATATACCATAATTATGATAAGGAATCCCCAAAATAGTATTGGTATTTATCTAGCCTCTATAACACTCTGGTTCGTCGTGCCCGCGAGGTTTGGAAGGCAAAGCCATCTCTCATCGAAAGCCAGACGGCATAGTGCGGAAGCATGAAAATGAGACTGGTTAGGATCTAAGCTCCCGCAGGGTCCTAGGTACTATTATGGTGGGTACTTCCACAAACCAACAGAATAGTACTTGCTAGGCTAGAAACGCTGAATTCTACGATATAGGCACCTTGGATTTTTTGGGACCATAAGTATTCCGATGAACCCTTTTGAATAACCGTTTCCCTAATATCAAACGACATCCCCTGTATACTACGAAATACTGCTTCTCCTGAAAACCATATCATATTCTGGGCTAAGACTTTGAGTGTCCACCTTGCTCAATGTTTTGCTCTAAACCGTAAGTCGTGCCGCAGTTGGCGCTCTTGCGGCCCTTGATGGCTGCAGCTCGTGCAATCCAACGCGAGCCCTAAACTCGGAGAGGGAAAGGAACTCAACTCACACGCTCTAGAATAGGCGCTAGTTCTTGGAATCGTAAGGTTACGGGTGCTGGGATATTCGCTAAATTCTGTGAGAGCAAGAGCTCGCTTCGCCACGGATTAAGAAATTACTTGCCCCGACCGAGGCAACGCCATTATGGTACCCCTACCAAACCATAGTTGCACTCTTGGCCTTTGTACATTCCTCTTCTGGTACATTCCAGGCTAAGTGCTCCCCGAATATATTAAATTTCGTATTCCTGGGGGGGGAGGTGTGCAAATCCCAAAGCCGTAAGACACAGTCGTATCCCTGATCCGTAAACCCACCGAGTCGCCTTCCTCGTGGCATTTGGCTCCCCACTCATTGGCCTTCGTTCAGGCGTTGAGACCCAGTCGTCGTCCGGGCGAGGTTTGGGATTTTTGGAGTGTGGTAGGGGTTTCGGTACAGCATGGACGATACTATACGAGCTACAGCCACCTGTCTCAATTTGAGCCTAAGGGGTATGAGTTTGGGTGATGGCAGGCCAAAAGGGGGGTTTAAGATTCTTGGGGTAGGGATGCCATAATATGAACCCTATTATGGGAACCCGAATCCCTACTAAAGGGTTCAGGCTAAACCCCTTTTGGCCTTAATGAGAGGATGTCGGGCTTTCATCCATGGGTTTGAGGATCTTCTGGCCGAAACGAGCGGCTCCATTCCATGCTCAGGCTTGACTCAAAGGGGAAAAGGAGGGACCCTTAATGGGGACCATGGGCTATGTAATAATGGCTATATAATAGCTATATTTAAGGGTATATACCTAGGGGTTCTTATTAAGGGCCCCTCCTTTTACCCTTGGATTGACGATCTTCCTGAAGAGACACGAACAAGTAGACTCTAAGTAGACGCTCAAGAGACTTGGTGTAACAAGACCAACAAGCACGACATTAGGCCACGTACCTGGCACCATGAGCAGCAACCCTAAACCCTAAACTCTAAATCCCCACACCCGAGCCTCAACCATAAACCCTAAATTCAAACTCCCTAAACCCTAAACCCAAAGCTCAATACTGCCCCCAAATAGCCTTCAACCCGAAACTAGAGCCGAACCCCTTCTCATTTGTCCCTGGTCTAGTAGTTGTCGCAGAAGTAAAAAATTGGTAGAAGTGGAGAGACGTAGAAGTTGGTAGAAGGAGAAAAGGTGGAATTAGAGGTAGAGGCAGTGAGAGGAGGAGGAGGAGGAGGAGGAGTGAAACCAGAGTAGCAGCAACGAGTAGCAGTGGCAGCAGCATCCATAATTACGATGCATAAGCAACATCACTCAACAACTGACAGCAATGCACCACCAACACCCTCTATACACACATTTCTACAAGTTCCCCCCCCCACCCCCTGCATGTCCACGAGCCTGCGTGAGCGCATTGTGGCAATCGACCTTCAATGCCATCTGATCTAAGCTGCCGCCCCGGCAAAACCTCTGGGCTCAGAGAACAGAGTCTTCAGAAGAGGCGACGGGATTCTATAGGTTCCCCTAAGGCTCCATGTACCCATATAGTAGCTACTTAGGCCTTAAAGGGACCCCTATATAGGTACTTTAGGGCCTAAGTTTGTACTATATGGGTACATGGAGGCTTAGGGTTCCATGAATTTCGCACTATCGTATGTAGTAGCACACGCATTCCCTTCAACCATACACCCTGCAGATACCTAAAATCCTTTGACGCGTTGGGGCTTCTTTGTCTGGTCCTCCGTCTTAGTCGCATCTCCGTCTGAAGCTTCTGCGAGTCTAGAGTCTAAAGGTTTGGGGCCGTTGCGGCTCCCCAGGGACTCCAATATATATATATATATATATATATATATATATATATATACATATATATATATACATATATCCCACAATTAAGGAATATTCCTTAAATTATAGTAAGGATCCCCAATATGATTTAAGGTATATTCCTTAATTAAGGGATATTGGAGTCCCTGGCTCAGAGCTCAATTATCAGGTTTGGGGCGGCATCAGTTCAGAGCTTGAGCGCGTACCGTTTATGGCTGAAGCCCTGAACCCTAAAGCATACTTGGAGTTCTAGGGTTTGAGATTCAGAGTTTGGGGCTTGGGGTTGAGGGCTTTAGGGGTTTAGGGTCTTGCGGTTCAGGGTTTAGGGTTGAGGGTGGAGGAGGTTACCTGGAGGGTCGGGGGACTGAGTAAGTAGGTAGTAGGTACACTTATAAGTACCCTAAAAGGGAGCCTAATTGGGGTTATGGTACTTACAAGTCCCTAAATAACCAGTTACTAAGTCCCCCGACCCTCCAAGTAAAGCCCAAAAACGTCCAAACTTGGGAGCCTGACACCGGAAACGCGATGAACCCTGAATGCCCAAAAGCTGCAGAGCCCAGACTTCATATACCCAGAGACTCCAATATCCCTTAATTAAGGAATATACCTTAAATCATATTAGGGATCCTTACTATAATTTAAGGAATATTCCTTAATTAGGGGATATTGGAGTCTCTGGGTACACCACCGACCAAGGATGCTCAAGCATCTGCACCTTCAACTGGAAGTCGCAACTCTAAACTATAAAACCGCAATCCCGTTGAGTTCGTTTAATCCGCGGACCAAGGCTCCACGAACAAGGATCCACCAAGCTGTGGAACTCACCTGCGTGCTGCAGAACTTGCTTTGCAAAACTTCACACCCTGGCTTCTCGTCAGGGGTCGGGTATGTGGAAGTTTCCGAAAATTAGGGGTACCTCATTATGGGGTTCGTATAATAAGGATCCTACTATTTAGGGTACTATATTAGGGTCCCCTATTCTCGGAAACACTCATCTGGGTGCCCTAGAACACAGCAGATGCTCTACCAGATCTGTATAGCAGCTTCCTGCTCCCTTTGAAAGCAACAGGTCGTTTCTATGGATTCGATGCCCAACCCAGACCCTCGGGAAGATCTAGAACGTAGATCCCCTAATTTGGGGCCCTATACTACTAAGGGTACTTTATAGGAACCCCGATTAAGGGATCTACTTTTTGGATCCTTTGGGGGGTCTGGGAACCACACCGAGGCTTGCAATCGAAACGTTGTAACTCGGCGGAATTCAGAACGAGCAGGGCCGATGGAATCCGAGTCTCCACAGATTTGCAGGAAGCCACAAAGACTGATCAGAATAATGTAGAGGCCTTAATGATTAGAATAACGTTTTGGAGCCCATTATACATTGATTACAGTAAGGAACCCCCAAAATCGTGTAGGAATGATGATGAGGCCCCTGAAAAACAGCATGCAGCATACCTGCAACTCCGGTGCGTGGCGTTTTGAGGCATGACGGTGAGGGTTTTAGGGTGTACTTTTGAGAAGCCATTCGCCGAAACCCAAGCCCCTGCAAGTTGAACACTACACTACTCGTGCACCCTGAACCCTAAACCCCTAAAAGCCTAAACCCCAAACCCCTAAACTATACTGAACTTAGAACCCTAGCAAAAATTATAATTTTCGCTGTTGCTTAGGGATTATTTTAACCAAAAATTAAAAATTATTTCTAAGTACCCTAAGTAAACCTTAAAGCCCTAGACCACAGCTCCTGCCTTTGAGGCAACGCCGGAGACGATCACACGTGGCCGGAGGCGAGTCCTCCCGAAAGCAACGTACCAAAGTACCTAGACTCTTAGGGCCTCAGGGTTTAGCTAACCAGTGGTTCTGGGGTTCCCTTGGCTCTTTAGCTCCTTTTTTAATAGGGATTATCATCATCCCTGGCTCCTTAGCTCCTCCAATATCAGTGGTTAGTTAGTGTTTTTGGGTTGAAGGTTTCGGGGTTTAGGAGCCCAGGTTTGAAGGGTTTAGGGTTCAAGGGCTTAACTTAAACCCTAAACCCTAAACCCTAAACCGTTTAAGGTTATGGAAACCACCTCAAGGGACTTCGAGGGGGCCCGCTGGTCGACAGGGAAGGCACAGAGCTCAGGGCCAACAAGGGCTTTGGCCGCTGAAGTGTCATTATACCAAGGAGCCCTTAGAACAGTATTGGTGATTATTTAGGCCCAGTATATGTATATGTTTGTGTGTGTGTATATATATATATATATCTATTTGTATATATATATATATATATTAGGAACCACCTCCAGGGACTACATGGGACTCTCTGGTCTAGAAGAAGGGCTCAGGGCTCAGGGGCCAAAGCCAGCTGAAGCGTCAGAGCCGGAGGCTCAAACTCTCAAAGGGGAAAAGGGAGGGACCCTTAATTTAGGGCTCTTAGGGTTCCTTTAAAGGGGTCTACAAGGGTTACTAGGGCTCTTAGGGTTCCTTTGAAAGGGTCTACAAGGGTTACTAGGGCTCTTGGGGTTCCTTTAAAGGGATCTCTAAGGGTTTAGGGTTCAGGGGAAAAGGAGGTACCCTTAATGGGGACCCCTACCCTACAATGGGCTATATAATGGGTATATAGCGGCTATGTTAAGGGATAATAGTAATTGTCATAGTACTAGTCATAGGAATATGAACCTATATAGTCTCCATTGTACGTCCTTTTTTCGGTTACCTTTTGGGATCCTACCTAGGCCCATAATTAAGCGACAAAGCCCTAAGCTCCTCCATCCTAAACCCTCCCATAAGCCCTGAATGGCCCTACTTGGAGGGTCGGGGGACTTACTAATTGGTTATTTTCGGGACTTGTTAGTACCATAACCCCGATGAGGGTCCCTTTTAGGGTACTTATAAGTCTACTTACTACCTACTTACTAAGTCCCCCGACCCTCCAAGTAACCTCCTCCACCCTCAACCCTAAACCCTGAACCGCAAGACCCTAAACCCCTAAAGCCCTCAACCCCAAGCTCCAAACTCTGAATCTCAAACCCTAGAACTCCAAGCTTGAACCCCTACAGCCCTCAAGTTGCAACCCAGGGCCGTAAACCCCAAACTCCAAGTCCTAAACCCTAAAACCCTAAAACCCTAAAACCCTGAAACCCTCAACCCTAAAAAACCCAAACGTTAGTTCCGAGAGCTCCAAGCTTGAAGCCGCAAACGGTTTAGGGTTTAGGGTTTAGCTCCTCCCTAAACCCTAGTAAACCCTACCTATAGTGTCCATTGTAGTTCCTTTTTTTGGTTAACCAACATCTCTATTATAGGGTCCTAACCATAGAACTGGTTAACCAAAACAAGGAACTACAATGGAGACTATACGTAAACCCTAAAGCAAGCCCAGCCCATTGATCCGATACGCCGGCGGTGCCTTCAAGCGGAGATCTCTGCAGCTGTACATCCTGCTATAGAGCACATCGAAGCATTCACCTGCAAGGGTGAGTTTAGGGTTTAGGCTTAAGATCTAGGGTTGAGGGTTTTAGGGGTTTAGGGTTTAGGATTTAGGTTTTGGGTCAAGGACCCAGGGTTCTTGAAGTGCCGGTAAGACGATAAGATCATACACACTAGCACACGCCTTCTCAAGATCTCTGACTTCTGGCTCTTTACACCAGTCGCGAAACCCGAACAGAACGGTTGATGATATAAATCCTGCATGACCCAGAAATAAGGAATATACCATAATTCCCATATATTCCTTATTATGGGTAATGCAGGATTTATATCATCAACCGGAATCAACCTGCCCAACGTATCCCCGACTCTGACACCGAACCTCTTCGTCTTTGGGGACCTTACAGTAAACTTCATAAAGTTGGAAACCAGATAAAGGCCAAATAGTGCTGGGATTCCCTCTACATTACTCTTAAGGATTGAGGCTATGGGGTTTCCAACTTTTGGGCTTCTACTGTAGGTTCAGGCTACAGTGTTCGAACAAGGAGCCCTAAAAACACGGGAATCCGAGATCTAGGCACGAAGATCCTATATACAAATAGCACCTACTTAGCGCCATCTCGGAGTCCGAGGGAAGAAGGGTCGGAAGAATTAGTAGTCCCCTTCCTGAGGGTTTCTTATCATAACCATGTGAAAGGAAGCCTCAAACCATGGAGTAGGGCCCATTTGCATACTTGGAGTTTTAGGAACATGAAGCCCTCAATCAACCCACATCCCCCAAAAAGTCAGCTGCCTCGCTTCGCTGGCATGTTTTTCACCGGCTCGAGGCACTCGGCCAGGGTTTCGTTAAACCTGGGTTTAAAGCGACCCAGAGGCTTTGGGTTTAGGGTTTAGGGTTTAGGGTTTAGGGTTTATAACATTACAGCTGCAACAAGGAATGCAAGGCAGAGTTCGGTAGTTCGTCATGCTTCAAGATTCGGGATCAGATGAGCAGTTAGCGAACTTGCAAGCGATGTCCATGTACCCGAATAGTATATAAGATTCTCCGAAAATAGGTGACCCGAATAACGTATCCTACATAGTAGGATCCTTATGATAAGGACTCCAAAATAAGGTATCTCGAGTTTTCGGAAACTCCCATTTACTTTGTCCCCAAAGCACTTATAGAGGGCTGCTTACTTTGAGGCAACAGTGGATACTATTTGAGCGTATGGACCTTGACGGTAAACCAAACTTTGAAGCCCTGAAAAAGATGAACGGCGATGTGCCCTCAGCCCTAAATCCCAAAAGACACTCTCCAGCTATAGGGTTTGGGGTTTTGTGTTTTGCTAGGATACCCAGTAACCTAAGAATAAAAAGGCCTCTCTTTTTGGTATTGGGTAACTTTATAAGGAACCTAGGACCACAAAAAGGGAATAAGGGTACTACTGGGCATCCTAGTTTGGGTTTAGGGCGACCAAAACTCCGGCCAAGACCAACTTTTACGGAGCCTGCCACCATAGACCTGCCGCTGTTTGGCCTCCTGGTCCAGTGGACAACACAGGCTTATCCATAGGCTCCGTAGTAGCTCCTTTTTCGGATTTATAGGATTCTATTTATGAACCAAAAACAGGAACTACTACGGAGTCTGTGGGTAACGACGAGCATAACGTGCTGCGGTGTTCCGTGCCACGGTTCACTTGGAACCCTGGGGAGCATTTAGGATTTAGAGTTTAGGGTTTAGGATTTTTGTCAATCCTGAGCTCTATACGACCTGACCCGCAAGTTCAACACCTGCGGCCGGGGCACACAATGTCTAAGACTTTGTCGCCAGATTTCAGCTCGACACCCTCGAACTCCCACATACTTACACCTCAGTTCAGTCCGTAGGGTTCAGAGGTTTGGGGTTCGGGGCTTAGAGGTTCAGCTCTTAAGGTTCAGGGCCGAGGGGTTCAGTGCTCAGGGGTTTAAGGCTTTGAGTTAGGGTTGTAGGGGTCAGGAGTCAGGGGCTTCGTTGAGGTTTAGGCCACCTCCACATGCAAGGGCCTTTGTTCCAGGGAGCAAGCGGGAAGCCTTCGAACTGCCTGCTGCTGTACGTCCAAACGAACATCGTTCTAGGGTAGAGGGGCTTAGGGTTTAGGGACCGTAAGTCCTGAAAAATGACCGAACCCGAAAAGCCCGAATGACGGGGCGGCATGACAAACTATGAGACATTTGGGGTCAGCCATCTTCCGGGAGGTTGGGTTCGGGGTCTAGGGTGGTGGCTTGTTGGGTTAGATTCCGACTCTGTTTGAGACAAGGCGGAAACGCAGCAATGCACAAAGTAAGTATGGGAAAAGTAAACTACCACCATGCAGATGCAGCACAAATCACGCAGTGGCACGGGTGAATGTGCATGCAGTTAGCCGGGAGCAGCGTCAGCAGTGAATATCATGGTAGCGCTAAGCATACCCGGTAGGCACACTTGCGCCTCTGAAGAAACATTCTGAAATAGGAGACCTTTGCAAATATCCCAGCGGCCTACCTTGCATAGTGTCAGTCGTTGTGAGCGTTGCAAGCCTCATGGTGAGAACAACAACTCTATTCAGGATGAAGGCACAAGAACAATGAGACAGGTAGCCATAGCAAAAATGGCGACGAATGTGGCAGCCTTGACAATAAGACAGACTGAGCTTGAGCACAGCAACCATAAGGACGGAGGTTCCTAGAGACTCCAATACCCCTGAATTAAGGAATATTCCTTAAATTATAGTAAGGATTCCTAATATGCTTTAAGGTATATTCCTTGATAAAAAGGGATATTGGAGTCTCTGGGTTGTAGCCACACGTTTTTGGGCGCCCTGAGCACCCAAACCCAAAGCCATGCTGGCCGAAACCACTGGCTGCAAGCGTGCGACTCTCCGACGAAACACCCCCGAGGAAATGTCGGTAGCCAACCTGCGGAATCAAAAGGGAGCTAGGGCTCCAATAATGTAGGAGCCTTAGTATTTAGAATAGGGTTTTGGGACCCATTATGCTATGAAATTCAGAAGGATCCCTCAATGTAATGGTAGTTATGTAAGCCCCTATAGTAGGGGTTTGGGGCTTTGAGTTGCGAGGTTTCGGTTTTCATCCTCAAAACCCACTGCAAACCTCGCCAACGAATGCGTAATGTGTCCCAAATCCTAAACCCTACCTGGGGATCCGAAAACCTACCGTTTTAAGGGTCAGACCCTCTAATTAAGGGGTCATAACCTACTATTTAGTAGGGTTTGGAGTCACAGGTAAACCCTAAATCCTAAACCCTAATCGTCAACTGCGAATCCTCGACCCTGAGCGGTGAGTCTTGACACAAAACCCTCAACCAAGAAACCCCAGCCTGAATCGAGACTCCAGAATTTTTGAAACCTAAATCCTTACCTAGACCTCAAAACTATGTAGAATAATAGCCTTTACAGGTGTTGGGCCATCATTTTGCCTACTTTGGGGGGTTTAGCTAACCCCTGAACAACTAACTAACCCGATTATCCACAGCCGAAAGCCTGAAGTGCTGACCCTGACCATGCCACCCGGAATTTGCCGGGCCTAGCCATTCAGTTCCACTGCTTCTTACAGCCAGGACGATTTTATATTGGGGTGATTATACGGCGGAGTTTAGGGTTTTGTCAGACTTGTTACAAGGATTAAAACGAAGGCTCTAGGAGCTTTTATGCGACCGCATAGTCGACAATGTAGACACTGTGGCCCTAAAGATGTTGCATGGGAATCCTACCGGTACTGTGCAGTAGGAACCGTTCAAATTTCATTCCATGTTGGCACCCGCACCTCGACACAAGGAAATCCACTTGCTGGATTTCGCAGTCATACGGTCTTCATTAGCGGAGACATGGAAGGCAAAATGGGCCCCAGAACATGGTTTTGGGCACCTTTATATTCTAGGTATTAACCATGGAACCCTTGGAAGAGTATTGGTAATCATTCCGGTTGTTTGCAGTAGTCGGGGATACCCTGAAGCCAACGGCCCAACGACCTACAGCACGGGCGCAGGGCTTCGAGCATATCAGGGCCTGCAATTCAAGGTTCAGGGTTCGGGTTTCGCAACCAAACATACAAAGGGGAAAAGGAGGGACCCTTAATGGGGACCCCTACCCTATAATGGGCTATATAATGGGTATATGATAGCTAGATTAAGGGTAGATACCTAGGGGTCCTGATTAAGGTTTCCCCTTTGATACAAGTTACATGGTATGTCCCTGATCATGCAAGAAGAATCTCGACAGGATCGAGACTGACATCTGACTAAAGAAAGGAGCCATGCCTTTCAACCTAAGACCCAAACTCAAGCTTGCTCCCTGCACCCTCAAACCCCCGGCCTCAAGCCTATAGAAACCCTAAAAAACCTCACACTGGGAGCAGCTGACGAACAAAAAAAACCCAAACCCCTAAACCCTAAACCCAAAACCCTAAACCGGCCTGTCTGGTAACGACTACAACAGCGAGGAGGAGGATGGCGGAAACCGATGTGACGGATGCGGCCAGGCCTTTGTGGAAAGAATCGAAAGCTTGGGTAGTGCATCCATACAAGGAGCCGTCGATAGTAATGGTGCTACTAAGGGCCAAAAATCTGTATTTCTCTCTCTCTTTCTCTCTCTGTCTCTCTCTCTCTCTCTCTCTCTCTCTCTCTCTCTCTCTCTCTCTCTCTCTCTCTCTCTCTCTCTCTCTCTTATCAATACTCTTATCAATTTATTCAGCTGGCTACTGAGTGGGGGCAGTAACACTTGAGAGCTCTGGAACCAATTACTTGTCTCGTGCTTTCTCCGAGAACTGACGGTCAAACTTTGCGAATACTTTGGGATTCAGCTTGCCAAGATATTTATCCCAACAGCATTCAAGGTGGCTGACTCGGCTACTGCGATGATGTTCGGAGGATGATGTTCCTATAGTATCCAGTGTGGTTCCGCTTTGGGCTACTGTTATCCCTGGTCAGGGCCACATAGCAGGAAAAAGGTGACAAGAAGAGCTACCTACTGTGGAGATGATGCTGTAATATAGAGGCCTTGATAATTGGAGTAGGTTTTGGGGGATATTGTAGTATAGTTATGAAAAGGAACCCACAAAACAGTACAAGTAATTTTTTACGCCTCTGAAGTACTATAGTAGGTAAACGGCCTTATCGGGTTCAGGCTTCTCGGATCTAGTGGTCCAGGGCTGAGTAGCCTCACAATAGAAAAGGCCCCAATGTAAGACCCTAAAATAACAGGATCGCCACCTCGAGAGGACCTAGAAATAATGCAATCCTCTGTTTAAGAAAAGCTCTTATAGAGCCATACAAAGTTCTGTCAAACCACCAATAAAAAAAGTTTCAAAACGCTTTTAAGAAATCTTTGTTTGGCAAACACGAAACCCCTCATACAACCACAAAGCCTAGATTCAGAGACAACTTTCAAAAGAGCGTACAGTTAAGCACCACAAGCAGTCTGAATCCTTACACAAAATCCTCGTGTTCACACAACACCCTTGTGTACCGCATACACTTTTGTAAAACCCCTGATGAATCTCTTGGCGAGATCTGCCGAGACATGTCTTTGCAGTTGTTAGCCTGTGCATGGCAAGTCCTGTCTGGCAGCAGGCGAAGCTTCTACGGACACCGTCTGGTTCTTACCCAAAGGATCCATGTACTTTTATAGTAGATACTTAAGCCTTCAAGGGCTCCCTATATTGGTACTTTAAGGCCTGAGGTATATATGGATACATGGAGCCTTCGGGTTAGTAGGGAATGGGGGAATGGATCCCTTTAGCAGTCCCTATGTAATCCCCAATAGAAGTCTCCATACTCCGTTCCCCCATTCCCACTAAGAACCAGACAGGATAGTTCAGGGTGGCGAGAAGCTAGATGAACCTCTTCAAAACCATTCAAAATGCTTATGTCGCCCCCTCGGCAAGGAATGGGATGCATGCTCCGCTGCATTCAACCCAGAGACTCCAATACCCCTTAATTAAGGAATATTCCTTAAATTATAGTAGGATCCCTATTCTGATTCTTAGGTATATTCCTTCATCAAGGGATATTGGAGTCTCTGGGAATGATCGGAAGCCAAAGTTGAGGGGACGGTCTGGGACCAAGGTCCGATTGGTGAAGATCGCTACGCAAGTCACGTGGAAGCAAGAGTTTGGGGTTTAGGGGTTTAGGGGTTTAGGGGTTCAGGGGTTTAGGGGTATAGGGTTAGGGGTTTAGGGTTTAGGGTTTAGAGTTCAGGGTTTAGGGGTTTAGGGGTTTAGGGGTTTAGGGGTTTAGGGTTTAGGGTTTAGGGTTTAGGGTTTAGGGTTTAGAGTTTAGGGTTTAGGGGTTTAGGGTTTAGGGGTTTAGGGGTTTAGGGTTTAGGGTTTAGGTTTAGAGTTTGAGGGCGTAGGTGTCCGGGTTCGGGTTTTGGAGGCTTTGGGAGACATGTCAAGATGACAGCTGCCGAGGTAAAAACAACACTGTACCTAGCAACACATGAAACTCTAATAATGCGAACCCATGTCAAACACTCCCTTAACCAGACGAGCACCTCAAAAACCCTAAGCCTGAAAAGACAAAGTCCCGAAACCGAAAGCCTAGAACCTGAACCCTAAGCCCTAAAACCGTCAAGCCTGAAACCCCAACCCCAAACCCGAAACCCCCACACCCTGAACCCCCAAAACCCTGAACCTCCAAATCCTAAACCCTAAACCCTAAACGACCGCCTTGAACCCAGAATCCTGAAGATGTCCCTCTTACAACTGGCGGCAATCTGCCCAGAGACTCCAATATCCCTTAATTAAGGAATATGGGAGTTTCCGAAATCCTAAACCCCCTGGCCGCAAAATGCAAGCATGCGGTCAAAGCCCTACTATTTCGCAGGGTAACACCTGAAAACTATAGCTACACCCGAAACTTTAAAACCAAAATCCTACACCGTAAGCCCCAAACGCCTAAACCCTAAACCCCTAAACCCTAAACTTTAAATCCTAAACCCTAAACCCCAAACCCTAAATTCCCCGACCTAAACCCTAAATTTCCCTAAGTACCCTAAGCACCGCCTTTCGTCTAAGTCGCAACGACGCCCGCACGGCTCGGTCGCGGCTGCTAACAAGCGGGCAGAGCTGCTTTCACCTCGGTGGGTGTAGGGGTTTAGGGGTTTGGGGGCTTAGGGTTTCGGGTTTAGGGGTTTAGGGGTTTAGGGCTTGGGGGTTTAGGGTTTGGGGGTCACCTGGGTGGTTGTCAAAATTGGGGTCCCTTTTTGGATACCCTAAACAATAAGTGCCGTATTATAATAGGGACCCAAAAAGGAACCCTAATTCTGACAACCTTTCACCAGAGTTTCAGGGTTTGGGGGTTCGGGGCTTTTGGGTGTGGGGGTTTTGGGGGATTTCGGGTTTAGGGTTTAGGGGGGTTTCGGGCGTGGGCTTTCACCTGAGTTTCAGGGTTTGGTGGGGTTTTGGTTTAGGGTTCTGTTGTGTTTGTTGTGGGCCCGTTTCTGAACAACCCTAAACGCTTACCCTCTACACCCTATACCCTAGAAGCCCTAAACCCTATACCTAGAAACCCAAAACGGTAGACCCTATAAGCCCTAGGCCCTATATACCCTATAAGCCCTAAACCCAATAAAAAAAAAAACAACTCGATTCTATAAACCCTAAACGGGAGACCCTATGAGCCCTAAACCGCAGACCCTAAACCCTATACAGCCTAAACCCCTAACCCCTAAACCACAAACCCCTACTTGGAGGGTCGGGGGACTTAGTAAGTAGGTAGTAAGTGGACTTATAAGTACCCTAATAGTGACCTTAATTGGGGTTATGGTACTTATAAGTCCCCAAAACAACCAGTTACTAAGTCCCCCGACCCTCCAAGTAAACCATAGGCATGCTGAGGAAGCAGGTCGGCCACACAGAGCTTGACCCTTCCTTCTTACGGGGCTGACGTGAAAACCAAGCCTTGACTCCCATGGTGGACGGAAACCTGGGCTTTAGGGTTTAGGGCTTTAGGGTTTAAGGGTTTAGGGGTTAGGGGTTTTAGGGTTTAGGGTTTAGGGGTTTAGGGGTTAGGGGTTTAGGGGTTTAGGGTTTAGGGGTTTAGGGTTTAGGGGTTTACGGGTTAGGGGTTTAGGGTTTGGGGGTTTAGGGTTTAGGGGATTAGGGTTTAGGGTTTAGGGGCTTAGGGTTCAGGGGTTTAGGGTTTAAGGCTTTATAGGGTTTAGGGGTTTAGGGGTTTAGGGTTTAGGAGTTTAGGGTTTTTTTTAAGTGCACTGACCTTTCTCCACTCCGCCAAGCGACGAAGCAGTGACTTAGCCTGCCTCTCACGGGGCCTGCACTCTGTAGCAGCCTTCACACAAACGACTCGCTCACTCACCCTAAACCCTAAACCCTAAACCCTAAACCCTGTCCCTTCCGACCATCTGACTCCCTCCGGTGACCCTCACAGGGGTTTAGGGCATCGGCTCAGACAGCACGTGCCTCTGCCTCCACCAGAAGGACCAGTGTGTCCTGGTTTTCTCAACGCGCTCCTCCGACGTAGCTCGTCAAGCTTCTATGTTCTGCCTGCTAAACACTCCTGCAGCCCAACCCTAAGCCCCCCAAACCTGAACCCTGGACCCTAAAACCTACACCTTAGAAGGGGCCCCCACCCTGTACTAGTGGTATAAGAGGAATATAATAGGGCCCTGACACTATCCTTATAGTCGCGATTACAGGGTGGGGGCAGTGGGGGCCCCTTCTAAGCCACACCTAAATCCTGTAGAAGCCCAAAGACCGAAGAGCCCCAGGAACCCAACAACAAAATGGCGCCATAAATGTCAAGAGTCGTTAAAAGCTAACAGCTACTTCTAATGATATGCTGAGTGATAGTATTAATATTAAGGCCAACCCTCAACCCATTCATATGCTGAGTGATCGTATTGATAGTAAGGTAGCCCTAAGCCCATAAACCCTAAACCCATTAAGGATGGCAAACTAATCTATACTGAACTTAGAACCCTAGCAAAATATAATTTCAGCTGTTTCTTAGGGATTATAATGACCAAAAACTAAAAATTATTTCTAAGTACCCCTAAGTAATGAGAAGATCATGCCCAGGGGCGGCAAAGCATGGCTTCATCTTCCTGCCTGCGCTCTTCTTCAGGAATTAACTAGGAATTTCCGAAAGTTAGGGGTACCTTCTTTTGAGGTCCTTATTATAAGGATCCTACTATTTAGGGTACTATATTAGGGTCTCCTATTTTCGGAAACTCCCAACTAGGTCCTTCTTATAAGTATTAAGGCCCCCTATCCCCCCCTCCTCCCTAAGGGTCCCCATGATCATCCGTAACGAGCGGGGTTTAGCTTCTAGGGGTGCAGGGGTTCTATCATAATACCATGGGGGCGTTGAGGGGTGTAGGGGCTATATCATAACACCATGGGACTCCAAAAAGCCGCAACGTAGGTAGTATCTAAGTTTCCAGACTTTAGACACCAAAGTAGGTACTATTTGTATACTTGTAGTCCTAGGGATACAGTATCATGCCTATAGTAAGGAGACCACAGGATCAGTATGCACGAATTCTTCCGAACCCTGGATTACACCCCGCATCTCCAAGACTGCAAGTATGCAAATACACATATAGGCCCCTTAGTAGTTCCTTTTGGGGATTGCCTTATAGGATTCTAAATATGAACTCCAAAAAAGAACTACTATGGGGCCTGTGGGTAGTGCCTACTTGGGGGTCCAAGGTCTCTAAATAGGACCTACTTCGGAGTCTAATGGTTACGTTACCACAAGCAGGAAACACAACCACACACACACACACACACGTGATAATAGGCTCCTGTGGCAAGAACCTAAACTACACCTTAGAAGCTGCACCAACCCTGTAATAGTGGTATAATAGGAATATAATAGGGCCCTACTACAATCCTTATAGTCACGATTACAGGGTGGGGGCCCCTTCTAAACATCGCTGAAAACACCGAAGACTCCTTGCAGTGACCCCAAAGCCGCAGTAGAATGGTCGCCAGATCCGAAGTCCGGTTTAGGGCTTAGGGCTTAGGGTTTAGGCTTAGGGTTTAGGGTTTAGGGCTTAGGGTTTAGGGTTTAGGGGCTTAGGGTTTAGGGTTTAGGGTTTATTCATAAAGCCCGATTCAAATCCTACAGAACAACAGAACACCCTCTGACCTACGAGACCCCTGTATGCCAAACTGACCGGAAGAAACTAGGTTCCCCAGTAGCCCCTTAATAGTCAGCGTACCCTTGTTCCTACTATTTAGTTTTAAGATGGGAACCCCAGAATGAGAAATGGCAAAAAGGTACTACTGGGTTCCCTTTAAAGCCTAAACCCTTCATACGCCTTTTTGAGCCCTTTTAAGGAGCCCGTTTCAGGAACCCTCTAGGCACTAGTTGGGAAGCCAAGAACCCGGAGACTCCGAAACCCTTTAATTCAGGAAAATACCTTAAATTATAGTAGGATCCCTTATGTGATTTAAGGAATATTCCTTAATTAAGGGATACTAAACCCTTTAGATCCCCTATAGATCCCTTAAAGGAACCCTAGGTCTATTCCTAAATTAAGGGATCTAGGAGTCTCTGGGAAAGAGACGAGTTGCCGCTCTGAGTGTTCGGAGGAGAAGCCCCCATCTTCCGGATCCTCGGCTTCTCCGTGCGCTGCTGAACGTTTCCGAAAATTAGGGGGTACCGTAGGGTTCCTTTAAAGGGTTACCATAAGGGTACTATAAGGGTTCCTTTAAAGGGAGCTGTAAAGGGTTTAGGGTTTAGAGTTTCCGAAAAATTAGGGTTACCTTTAGAGGGATCTATGAGGGCTCCTGTACGGGATCTATAAGGGTTCTATAAAGGGTTTAGGGCTTAGAGTTTCCGAAAATTAGGGGTACCGTATTTCGGAGTCCTTATATTAAGGATCCTACTGCTTAGGGTACTAGATTTATTAGGGTCACCTGTTTTCGGAAACTCCCACTGTCGGGTTGGGAACGAGAGGAAACGCAACTATCGGTTTCAACAGTCCCCGAAACTGTGTATAATTAGGGCTCTAGACTAAAACAATAAGGGGAATTATGGCTTATCTAAAACCGATACCTATAGTGTACTGCCGGAAAGGCTCAATCGGCGCCGGATTCGAATCACACATCGGCATGGCTCGGCCTAGCCTGAACCCGCAAGCCCTTGACTGTAAAATGCTATAACCTGTACGCCCAAACGCCTCCATCGCCTGGAACCGAGACAGTACTTGAATCTCAACTTGGGGTGCATTGCGAACACTCTACCAGTTTGACAAGTTCACCTCACCTCAAGAGGACTTCTCGAACTATAGCATCATGGAGTCTCTGGTGGTCATCACATGGGTGGCTTGTAAGGGTAGTTTTTGGAGGGATCCGATAGGGTTACAAGTCTCTGAAGACCCCTAGCCACCAACCTCGAACCCAGAAGTAAGCAGTGGAAAAAGAAGTGGCTGGACGGGCTCGCAGTTCTGCGAAGACCGCGCGGCACTTTGGGCCGAAAAAGGTCAGGCATGAACTTGCGATCAGTCAGGCGGCTTCGGGAAAAAGGGTCATGGGGTTTCCCGAGCGCCCCAACCCAAACCCGACACCCTCTTGCTGATGGGAAAGATCGTGCAAGTATTGTAGAAATCAGGCTTCTATGTTAGAGTGTGTTTTGCTTGATGCAAAGCCGAAAGTCCTACCTGATGCAGGCAAACGCAGCGAACCCCCAGTACATGTACGTCGGATTGGTCGAACCAGCACCGGGGAACAGCACGGTGATGCAAATGATTTCCATCCCTAGCATAGATCCAGTCTCCATTGTAGTTCATATATCTGGTTTGACCAACTTCGTTTTGGTAGGACCCCAAAAAGTATCCCAAAAAAGAAACACAATGGAGACTATAGGTACATCCCACTTGACTCAGGCGGGGCCCAAAAGTGGATGCGATTGCCAACTATACTAGTACAACTTCTGTAGCTCAAAAACCCAAAACCCAAAGGCCCTAAACACCCAAAACCCTAAACTCTAAACCCTAATCAAACCCGAAACCCCTAAACCCTAAACCTTAAGGCCGAAATCCCGAGGCCCGATGAAACCCTCAACCCCACGCCTTTGCCTCTGAAGAGGGAGACTAAAGTGACTAAAGCTCTCCAAGGGCGCGGCTGCACCACCATAGGCATCATGTAGGCCTCAGTAATATGGGAGTTTCCGAAAACAAGGGGTACCTTATTTTGGGGTCCTCTAAATGAGGATCCTACAATTCAGGGAACTATATTAGGGTCCCATATTTAGTTAGCAGACCCCTTGCCCAGTTTGGGTAATAATACCACCAGTCAACTCATTAGACGATTATTCCTATACTCCCCCCTACACCCCACCCAATATATCACTACTACTTCCCCATTATCAGTACAAGTATAGGAATAACAAACTACCCTATCTATATTCTCTAAGGTGGTATTATTAGCCAAACTGGGCAAGGGGGTCCTTATAGAATTTGGCTCAGCAAAATGGAACGCTGCTCGTTTGGCAAAGGACATGATCTTCTGTTCACGGCCGATTCGAGGACGAGTCACAAAACAACACCCATCCACACCCCTACGGCAGTAATAGGTCGAGTGCTACAACCAAAACTAAGGGGGTTCTGAACATTTCAGCATTTGGGCGCAGATCCGCAACAAGGCCGCCACGTTTTTTTAGCACCGTGGCGACTGTCACATCAGCCTATGTTCATGGCATTGGTGAAACCGTTTGCATCAACTCCTTTGCTGATGCCCAGTTGGTTTACCTGCTTCCGTTCGAGGCATTCAAAAACATCCCACTCCGCTTCATCCAAGTCTGCCTCCGAGATGGGGGCACACGCTGGAACAAAACGCATTGCCTCCTCTGTTCTACCATGTTTGATGTTCGCCCAGGCATTTAGACTGCGAGCAAGCAGCAGAAGTGGGTGCGGCGCAGGATGCTGGCCTTGCCAACTGCTTGAAGTAGTATACGCCTTTCAGCCTTCATCTGGATTGCTACTGCGACCGAAGGAGCAGTAGGTCTGCTAACTTATTTTCGGAAACTCTCATATGGAGAGTTCAGGGCTTAGGGCAGGGCTGAGAGGGTTCAGGGTAGAAAATTACGATTCTGGGTTGGGCAAGCATCGCCCATAGAGGTACTTAGGACCCTTTAGGTTTGCAGGGTGTGGCAGATCGCATGCGTTGCGCAACCTTTACAAGTTAATCGCTGGATCGGAGCCTAAATTCCTCGCCAGGCCCTGAGGCATACCGGATTGTCAAAGTTTAGGGCTTACCCATAGGCCCCATAGTAGTTCCTCTTTGGGATTACCTTATAGGATTCTAAAAATGAGCCCCAAAAAGGAACTACTATGGGGCCTATGGGTACGGTAACTATAGGTATAACAGCTCCCAGAAACCTAAACCCACACCAGCGCGTGTTCTTGCTGTTGTAAGAAGGATGCCACTTGGCTCCCTATGTTATCTGGCCTCCCAAAAAACCAGAACAAAAAAAGCTAACCCCGTAAGCCAGAAGGTCCCAAGCCGCAGAGCTCTAGACCCTGCCCAAACACTGGGGCTCCAAGTAGCCCACAGCAGATCCGGTTTACAGACTTTAGACCCCGAATTAGGTACAAGTTGCATACTTGGAGCTCCAGGGACACAACTGTATATGGCCCTGACCACAACAATGGAGGTTGCCTACACTGCTAAACTCTACCTGGGACCCGGAAGCCGCCCTGAAAAGGAAGGTCTAAGGTGTAAGCTCTAAGCCCTGCCGAAAAAAGCTGGGTCGTGACCCCAAACCCTAAACCGAAACTGTAGGGTCGTGACCACAGCAGTCGTCATGTTCCTCTGCATGGTGAGATCGGCGGCCTTCACTCGATGCAGTGCATGAGCCATTTTACCTAGGATACCCAGTAACCTAAGAATAAAAAGGCCTCTCTTTTTGGTATTGGGTAACTTTATAAGGAACCTAGGACTACAAAAAGGGAATAAGGGTACTACTGGGCATCCTAGTAGCAGAACGGAATCATGTCGACGTGAAACCAGCTCGTCAGGTCGCGATGGCGGGGGTTTAGTTAAGGGTTTAGGGTTGCAATTTCCTTGACGGACCTACAAGTAC